GGGCGTAAAGTTGTTTAAGTTGGTCCCATGCGGCTTCTACTTGTGACTCTGGGTTGATTTACCAGTTCACTGAGTTGGCTGATGAGATGACCGCATTTATATCAGCTTTCCAAACGTTTGGTCGAGCTGGGGTTTTGGTCCATTATGCTGTTACTGTGAACTTGAAAGTGAGCACAGCGTGGTCACTTCTTCCTAAAGGAGGAAGATGTATGAGATCCACATCCTCAACACGGGAGAATACTAAGTCCATAGTTGATGAAGAGTACTGTGAGTTATAGCGCGTGGGCTTAATGACATGTTGGACTAGGGCTAGCGAAATGCTACATTCCTGCAGTTCATGATCAAAGTTGTCTGAAGATGGTGTTGTAAGACTTGTCCAGTCAACTGTTTGGGCGTTGAAGTCGCTGACTACAAGACTTTGACATTCCGATGTCCAGAAGGCTAGCTTCTCTATTAGGAAGTCATCTATACTACAGTCAGGATTGCGGTATACAGCAATGAAGTCAATATCTTGGCATATACATTTAAGTCTGCAGCGTAGAAGTTTGCATGAGAGCAAGAGCTTCGATGCCACGCACGGTTAAGCATTTCTTGAAGTAGGTGACTGCGCCACCTCATTTGCGGCTTAGTCGGTTCACTCTATGCACTTCGAAGTTTGGCAGGTTAACCTCGTCATCAGTGACATCGGGTGTGAGCGATGTTTCTGTGATAATAATTACTTTCGGAGTTTATCATATTACACAGTTCAGTCCGTTTGTTCAAGAGGCCGCGGGTGTAGCAAACTGTCTATTCAGTTTGGTGCTTCCGCAGATTACCCACAGAGGTTTCGGGATCATCAAACTTTGACAATCCGAAAACCCTTAACCTTAAGGTTTTTTTCGGTTTCGTTCGCTTAATTCTAGGGCTGCAGACTGTCTTTTGACACGGTCTGCTAGGCATAAGTCGGCATTGACGTATATGCCTGATCCTTTGAGAGTTCGCGAGTTGCTTAGAATCGCATCCCTCTCTTCTTTTGAGTTTAGTACGACTTTGAGAAGGCGTACCAGCTGATATGCTATCGAGTCAGGCTTTTGGCCGATTCTATATAAGCTGTGTATGGTTATGCTTGATATTGTTTTTGGCAGCAGCTTATCTAAGAGGCGTTTGACTAAGCTAAGGTCGTGTTTGAACCTGATCTTGGGATCAGAAGCCGGTGATTCTTCCACTTCGTGTAGAATGAGCGACCTGTTAGAGAGGTCAGGCTTGCTTGCCATGGCTTTCTTGCTCTACGGCGTAAGTTTCTTTCCGTCTTTCGTGGACGGTGTGGCCATTATGGTGTCCTTTTCTTGCCTTTTGCCGGCGACTACATAACGCAATCCATTGGCGTCCTCCTCGCTAACCGTAGTCGATTGTGTCTGCCTGCTATCCACCGGTGTGGACGAGGTTTGGTCTACAGGTCCGTGGGTGACTTGAGCTGCGGATTTTCGACCCCTGGTACTCCTCCTCTTCGGCCAGTCTTTCTATTACTGTCACTGGAGGACTTACCCGGTATCGTAGGGGTGTCTGAAATACGTTGGGTGCTCTTCTGTGGTGAAGGGAACTCACTCCCTGACAGACTCATCAGGAACGTGTACTTTTTGTCGATGACGCTAGTGACGTCATCGGTGTCTGAACAGTAGTTGCTCTTCCCCTGTGGTAGAAGACCCTTGCAGTCCATGAGCTTTAGAGCCCCACTGAGAGTGGCAATGGCTTCCGTCATACGAAACTTAGTCGTACTACAGCAATCATTGAACAGGCAGTTCGCCAGAGGCTTGCAGCAGCGGTTGTATGCTGCAGGAGTTAGGTTTGTGCACATGCTATGAAACCATCTCTTGAAATTATCACACTGCATTCCTTCTTCAATTGGAAATTGGCACATAGTTCTTCCACAGCGGTTCCTTTTGATAGGTATGCTTTTCAGAGTGATTCAGATTCAAGTATGACTTTATATATATGACCTTTCTAAACCAGTGATAAAAAACCAATGAGTGCAGAAAAATGGATAAATATAACTGTGGTGTTATAAGAACACAACTTCCTATAATGAAATAGTCTCAAAACTGAAACGTAAACTTCTATCAAAATAAACTGATTTAAAGTTAATCTATAGAATTTTGGAGCGTATAACAACAAAAGCCTAAATTAAACAAGAGCGTGTAAAATCCACTCCTTTTTCAAAGTTCATGTGGCGAACACAGTTAAACTTAACAGGATAACTGGTGCTTTTGAAGGAATAGGATTTAGAGGTAGGTTTAAGAACAGTATCGGAAATGTAGACGGATCTCAAAACACTATGATCTATAGTTATCTTTTTAGTAAATTTTGGATATTTAAAATTCTAGCTATAAGGTATTTCTTAAGACAGTAATGTAGCGATGTCATTTCCAAGCAAAGTACTTTTTGAAATGAATATTTGGCTAGTTGGAGCCTGTCTCTCGTCCGTCTACTCAAAATCCAGTTTTGAGCAATATAAAAAGTCGAAAACAACATGTATATCGAATAAATTCCTAACACTTTTGTAGCAATTACATCTTGGTAACTTTTGAAGAGCATTAACATGGAAGTGGTTAGTAAATAACATTTGTACTATCTATTATTGTAAGCCGGTCAGTTTTAGCATGTCTTCAAAAAGATTAGTCATTTTTTTCCTACTTTGAAGTCTAGGTCAATAATCCACAGCTTCTTCGTAATACAATCATGTCAGAAAGAATGATCAATCTACAGCTCTCCGCCAAAGTTCCTCAGTTTGGGTTACCACACCACAAAACAGAACGATAACAGGAAGCGATCAGAAAGAGTTATGTTACAAGTAGGTGTGAGTAGTAAAAGTTAAGGTTCTGTGTGACTGGAGATGTCTCATCCGGGTATGAGTCCCACTACATTAACTTCAGCTTGGGCAACTGGGTAGTATCTTCAGCCTCCTTACAAAAGTGTGGCTCCTGGCTTAGTACATGAAAACGCAGATACGGGTAAAGTGTTTTAACTGACTATCTGTGCGATTATAGTTGCTTTTTGGATGTTGGTGTCTGCAGTGACTCTTACTATTTCTAAAAAGCTTGAAAAACAACTTACATTTTTGTGCATGACCTAAATTAGTATTATATCTTGGTCTGACTGTCATCAGTGTGTTTCCAACGTCATCTTACTTGGTTTGAATTTACTCATCAAAGAGGTTATAGTTTAGCGTACGTAGCATGCCTTCTAGCCATTTGACACATCATTTTATTTCAGGACACCATTTTTCTAACCGAATCTTCAATGTATAACTGACTCACTCACGTAGTTGTGATTTTATTTTGTACTTTGTGATAGATATTTCGATCTATCATTTTAACTTGGTGTTTGATCTGTGGTCTAATGTGGATCTGGCTTTTTATCTGCCTATTGGTTTCCTTGTAAGCTGCTTATAAAGTTGAGTAATATTAATCGTCTTCGTGTCGAAAAAAGCGAAGCAGGCTAAAAACAGTCTCTATGTTTTTCGCTTAATATCTGTGACAATTATCTTTACAATGAAAAGCTGAGAGCTTTGTATCCTGTCTGTTATCAGCTAGTGATTGTCAGGTACTTCACTGTTCAACGTCTTAAAATGTTATCGGGATTCTACACTGTAACATACTTGTGAATTTAAACATATTAACTATACTGCATCTGCTAGTTTGTTTATACTTGTTGTCACACATATATTGGGAGGACTTATCCATCTCTGTAGGTAGGGGCTTCACAATATATCCCTTGTTAGTTTCAGAAGCCAATCAAATCCTCTAAACCCATTAATAGTGGAGACAGACGACCTGTTGCGAAACATTATAGATACGGGGCATAAAGTTGCTATTGACACATCTATTAAACCTATCTATAAAACGTGTTTGGGGCGTATCCTAAAGTTTGTGGAAGCCCTAGCGATTGGAAAGTTTAAACCACTTCTATGCGTTCAAGAACAATTCGTCATCACATTAAACCTTCCTTGGTAAACTTTGTTTTGATACCAGGCTAGATGTACTATTACTTCCCTTCTTTGGTTTAATGATCATTATTATTTTGACCTTCATTATAGACTTTCGTCTTGACCTGTATCTATTCTCCCATCTCTTAAGGCTTCATTGTTTTCACGTACATTTCTATGACAAGTCCATGTGTGATCATACTGTCCGAAATATGTCACTCAAATAAATACGTACACGATTCAGCTAAACTACATCCAATTGTTTTGTGTAAATGCTGATTATAATTATCTACGTTTTCTTTTTGATTATGATGGTTGGCTGTTAGCCATTTCATGCGATTTATTATTTGAAAAGAAATTACAATAAACAATTCTTACTGTTTTATACTTCAGGAATCTACCTTGCCTGTAAATGGTTTGGAGGACACGAACAATAGGCAAAAGTCACCTTGCACAATTCATGAAACATCTTCATCTGAAACTTCTTCTGACAGTGAACCTGAAAAAATCGAAAGACCTGTAATTCGGAAAGTAGGCTAATTGTTCCACTTAACTATAGCACTTCAGCCCAAACCCCCAGTCTTTTCAGTTCCATCTGATTACATTTTGAAGTCAGTAGCAGATTTGGTAAATTTTCGCCTCCGTATAATATGTATATATGGAATTCCTTAGACAGCAGATGTGAAGACTTCATTACTTGGAAAGGTTTCTCAAGTTTTCGATGATTGTGGTAAGACAGTTTTTGCTTGCATCAGGTATTGGTTATCATTTAAATAAAAAAATACAGTTAATTATGTGGAGCTTAGTGTTTGGCGTACGAACCAAAAACAGTTGTTTCCGACCTGATCTTGAAATTCTGATTACAAGATCTGGATTCTAAGCGAGGTGTTGTTTCTTTGGATCACGTTTGAAGAATGTTAATTGGTGTTTCACATACAACAGTATTTAAACACGATTTGCAAATGCAAAAATGCATTTCTGAAAATTCTTCGCCGATAAATTTCTCGCTATTGCACCCTCGTTTGTTTACGTTTTTTAGTTGTAGTTCGTTCTGTCAGTTCAGCAGTTATATTGGATGAGGGATCTGCACTTTTTCTGGACGATGGAAGGCATTTGGGAGAGGTGAGTGTACTCTACTAAAGACTAACGTTATCCGCAGATAAGTAGTAATTTTTTGTAATTATGCAAGTAACTTGGTTAACTGTCTCAGTATAAGGCGATTTCTAGTAACTGACTCGAATGTTCTATCTCTGTTCAACTTACATGTACTTCAGTTTTAAGTATTCGACTTAACTGTATTCAAATAATCCAAAGTATTTTATGAAAATAAATTGAATTTTCTTCTAACTTTTTATTTTATTATTGCTAACTTCTTGCTAAAGTGTGTCATCATTTGAAACTGTACTTCAGTATTTAGAAGACACTTCGACGAGTGAATCAGCTAGCCGGATACTGTAGTACATTCGCCCGCCATCGATAGTGTTTCTAACGTAAATCGACGATTTGGAAATAGAATTGATATCCGAGAATAGCTGGTTCATGGGATTGATCTTCAGTGACTCCTAGTTACGAGTAGGTTGTGAAATGTTTAAGAATGCTAACCACCTCACTTATTTAGTTGCTTGATTGATCTTAATACGGTGGTTGCTGGGGAAATCTTGGGATAAATGCAAACCCATTTCTGACATTCACCGTGTTGCAAAGTTTTAGTTGTAAGTACAATCTTCATTTAATTGTGTATGTTGGGTGGCGTAGCATATTAAATGGTGCTAAAATTAGATGCAGAGTTTTATGTAAGAAAGGCAAGTTGATCGATAAAATTGAGTCTTCATCAGTTGTGATGGCTGGGACTTGTGTTGTAAATGCCAAGATGTTATCTCCTTAAAAAAACAATGATGTAAAACTGTCATAGAAAAGAATAGTGATCAATAAGACGAGTGTTTCTATAGTCATAATAAGTTACTTGTTAGAATGTTTTGATGTGCTTGAATTGAAATAGAATATTACGGTTATTTATTATTCTCTTTTGATTTGACCGGCTGTAATAATATCTTCCATATTTCTGGTATTTGCACTGAGTCATTTCTGTTTCATGTGTTGGGTGTAGACTCAATGAACAAGGATTCCGTAATCAACCTCTTTCTCCACCTACCTATGTTACTTTTTAGAATTTTAACCCTATCCCACCCTATTGTGTGGTTGTTTGTTAATGCGTGAAGTGCAATTGCTGAGCTTTTTTCTAAATTACTTATCTTTTCAGGGTCAACCATTCTTCCCTTAGCTAAATTCTTATGTTCTGATAATCTGACTACCCCAGACCTACTAGTCTGACCTATGTAATTGACTTCACAGTCATTGCAGGGTATTTTGTAAATTATATCATTTTGTTTAATGGGGTCAACAGGGTCCTTTAACCTACAGAGCTTGTCTCTGAGTGAGTTTGTAGGTTTGAATGCCACCCTAATTCCTTCTTTATGAAGAATCCTACGTAGGGTCTCAGATGTCCCCTCCTTATATGGTATTACAGTTTATGACTTATGTTCTCTCTTATTCATGTTATCATTACTAGTTCCACCATTATTTTTATTTTGTTTTTGGCCTTTAGTTATCTTCCTAATGAATTTTATAGGATAGTTATTCAACACCAACGCTTCTTCTATCTGTTTTATCTCATCGTTTAGGTCTTTTTTGTGCTACTTAGTGCTATGGCTCGGTTTGTTAGACACTTAACTAAGCCTGCCTTAACAGTTAACGGATGAGACGAATTAAAATCTAAATATCCTGGAATAATTTGACAGCCGAGTCAGATTGAATCATTATAAATTATTTAAAATAATCCCAGCGTGCAGAAAAATCTTGTTTTGAGTTTTTCTTAAAGTCGCTGAGATTATATTAAATAATTTATAATAAAAAGTGATATTTTGCATCGTATGGTCACCACGTGATTCAGTGACTTAATAGTTTCGGCAGGGAGGCGTCTTTTCAAGAACTTCATACAACTGGTTCCCTTGATAAATTTCGATGAAGAAAGGAAGACGAAATTCGCAGTATAAAATGATATCATTCTATTTCACAGGTTCTCATCAGCTGCAGACTACCTGAAATTACAATGGTTGTATAAATGATAATAACATACTTTAATGTTTGATTAGTAGTAGAGAAGAGATAAAATTGACGCATCCAAAAACGAATGAAAGCATTACAATTTTTAGTTTAAGTTATCATCATCAATTTATACACTTTCAGAGTTGAAAAGAGGGGGGAGGGGTAAGACAGAAAACAGAAAAATTGATTAACAGAAACAGTGTTAGCTTGTAGGTTCACATGGCAACTCCAAAAAAACAAAAGCATTTACAGTTTATAAGATTGAGATTTGCTCAGTGAGTTGAGATCACTGAATTAGATGACTAATCAAAATCAAAATTCAGTTACCAAGGGAGTGAGAGGTTAATCACACTCTCTTTCTGTATGCATTAGTCTGGTTTAAATCGTTTGATTGCGATCGCTTCAGCAAATCGTAGTAAATTTGCTGTCCTTTGTCTATTTAATATTTTGAAGGACTTAGAAATCTCTACGAGATGTCCGGTATCAACAATATGTCTGGTAATTGCACTCTGAGAATATTTGCTTCCTTTCAGAGTGCAATTACCAGACATATTGTTGATACCGGACATCTCGTAGAGATTTCTAAGTCCTTCAAAATATTAAATAGACAAAGGACAGCAAATTTACTACGATTTGCTGAAGCGATCGCAATCAAACGATTTAAACCAGACTTATGCATACAGAAAGAGAGTGTGATTAACCTCTCACTCCCTTGGTAACTGAATTTTGATTTTGATTAGTCATCTAATTCAGTGATCTCAACTCACTGAGCAAATCTCAATCTTATAAACTGTAAATGCTTTTGTTTTTTTGGAGTTGCCATGTGAACCTACAAGCTAACACTGTTTCTGTTAATCAATTTTTCTGTTTTCTGTCTTACCCCTCCCCCCTCTTTTCAACTCTGAAAGTGTATAAATTGATGATGATAACTTAAACTAAAAATTGTAATGCTTTCATTCGTTTTTGGATGCGTCAATTTTATCTCTTCTCTACTACTAATCAAACATTAAAGTATGTTATTATCATTTATACAACCATTGTAATTTCAGGTAGTCTGCAGCTGATGAGAACCTGTGAAATAGAATGATATCATTTTATACTGCGAATTTCGTCTTCCTTTCTTTATCGAAAAAAAGTGATATAGTTTCAAATTTACCACAGTGATGCAGATATTTTCATTTTACATATTGTATCGTATTTCCCCGTTTATTGAATAATTCTACCTACGACATTTGGTTACATTGTTTATGCTTGTTTGTCTCTTCTAATTGCTTCTTAACCATTATGAATTTTAGGGATATAGCAAGTTTTCCCGCTGTTTAATATTACTGGGCCATATTCTGATAATGCATGATTAACACACTGATGTGTTAGCTTGCTGTCAGAAACAGAATTATTCACCGTTAAATAACAGATTTAGCTCCTGAGGTACTACATTAGTATTGGCCTTATTACTAATGTTACAAGAGTAAACATAGACATCTATAAAAATTATATTTGTAAAATCTCACCGAAATTAGAATGAGTAATTCCAACGTTTCGTTTGGCAAACTAGTCCGAACTTCTTCAGGGGAATTAATCGAAATTAACATAACAGAAGTATATATGTAAAAAGAACGTCTCTTACTTTAAAAACTTGATTCAAGATCAAATAATTATCCCAAAGCCTTCATAAAAAGATATTTAAAGTGTGAAGATAAGTATGGATCGAAACCTATTGCTAAGAATTGGTTTAGTACATTGGTGATTCCTTGCCGCAAACAAACATCGGATGAGATAGATCGAATCTCTAACAATCATGACATAAAAGTGTATTTCCGTGCAACGGACACTTTACACTGATCACTGGTGAAGGTTAAGGATAAAATGGGAAAAGACAAGCAACAGAATTGTGTGTACCAGATCAATTGTGAGGACTGTGACGCCGTATATGTAGGAGAAACTTCCAGACAGGTGAATATAAGAGTGAAAGCATAAACAATATCTAAAGGTGTTTCCAAAAACCTCTGCAGACCTAAAGAAGCTATTTAATCGAGGCTTTATTTCCCTTGATAATTCGTCTAAATTAGCTAATAATTGAAAAATTTAAAAGTCCTAAGTGTTTACTTCTTCATATACATTACTCGCTTTCATAATAAGTAAGGTGCCAAGTATTTCATAATTCTCCCGACGTTGCCAAATTAGATTTCTGTCACTACTCATATTTGCTATGATACCGGTAAATAATTAAGATGAATAATTTGTATAGGATCTTGAATTTTGGCACATGATTCGCTCATAGTATTTAAACATTAACGTAGTTACACCCAAGTGACCAGTCAATACACTAATCACAGTCTTATGGGAGGACATATGTGCATCTGAATAGCTCATTGGTAGTATCTCTGACTTCTGCTCTGGGCGACGCAATTTCGAGTCTCTGAGAGAGGTGGGCGTCAGTTCCTTTGAGGTCGCCGATACGCCTTGATGACGAGTACCAAAAAGCACGACACATGGGTTCAATGCCTCCCGGTTATAACCTCCAACCACACATCAGTCAAGATATGTAAATGGTTTATTAGGTCAATTTTGGTAATTTGCTAAAGATCCTACTGCAGTCGTTAAATCATTTTCAATTTACGTCTAGTTACGACATAGTCATATAAATGGTGGTATTAATAGACAAATTTGTTTGCATTTTTCATCTGCATATGCTATAGATTTATGAAACATTTGGTCCTGTCCGTGCCCCATTTTATCTTGTGGTTCTTTCCGAATCATTCTGTATACGTCCCCAAAGACCGAATAAACCTATCACTGCCACAATTGATTTAACTACTACGATGCTGACTGAGTGTTCTGAAGAAGTAGTGACAGAGAATAAAGAGGTGGATTCCCCTGAAGTTCCAGTTGAGATAACTACCAATAATTTGGATTCAGTGGATAATGAACACGGTCAAAACGATAGTGTAAATGAGATTTGTCAAATTGTTTCGTCTTCCGCTAACAGTGATACTTCTAATGATAATGAAGAAAAGAAAAATGCTAATCAGTCCTTGAAAGAGATGTCTGTGTTTTATGCACCTGATATGCCTGAACTTACTCTTCCAGTTTTTTATAACAAATTAGTTGCAAATAATACTAAAGGATCTGATGCATCATGGGTAGGAGATATAGAGCCTCCGCCAGAAGTAAGTTTTAAAATTTGGGGGTTTACTAATTTGCATGTCTATATTTGATTTATCATCACTATTGGTGAAATAGAATAAGCAAACTTCAAACATCATCTACCTACTTTAATGGTAAATTACACGAACTATAACAAATGTAACACATGTCTGCGGTCGAAATCATTGTGATACATAATAGAGTTAAGGGATGGGAAAATAGACTCAGATCAAGCTAAAAGAACATATTGGAAGTCAAAATAACAATGAAGATCACTGAACCAAGGAAGGGAAGTAACAGTACATTTACCCTGGTATCGAAACATAGTTTACCAAGCAAGGTTTAATGTGATGACGAATTGTTTTCAAACGCGTAAAGTTGGTTTAAACTTTTCAATCGCTAGGGCTTCCACAAACTTGAGGATGCATCCGAAATGTTTTATAGATAGGTTTATAAGACGTAAGCATCAATTTTATGTCTTGTTTGGATTAAAATCAAGTAAGTGCTCTATTGTTGCAAGGGCAACTAATGGTATCCATAAAGTAATGTAACCCATATTTTAAAATTTTATTAAATAATGTCAGCGTAAGCGCCTCATTTCTCCATACGATGTAGCTCATCAATAGGTGTTATCCTTGTGCTGCGGAGGTGAAGCACCAAACAGTGAAAGCTTGTTTTCCTCATTTTCTGTGGGAGTAAATTTTGTTTGTGCGTCGGTGGCATGGCGGTAAAGACGCTCGCCGACCATGCACATGGTCCAGGGTTCGATCCCCGGCCGGCGCACTCCTTTACCTCGCTAAGCCAGAAATAATGCTGGTGAAGAGGAAAGGTTGGGCATAAGGCTAGCAACCCCATCCGGTAAAAATAAACACTGCTACAGAAACTTCAAACCGCTTGAAGCTCTATGTTCCACTGGGGAACGTGAAGGAAAAAAAAATTAGTTCGCTACGACATACAATACTCATTGATTTAATGCAAAGTTTTTAAATAATTTTGCAAAGTTATACTGTAATGTTTCAGCTGTTCAAATTAGTGTTTCCCACATGTTGATATCGTGTGAAACTATCTTGATGCAGTGGTGTTACAAATGCTGAAGTCATCCACGAGAGTGGTTTAAATCTTATATGGTTGACAAGATTGTACTTAAGATCATTGTTTTGAGTTTAGTGTCGCTTTTTAAATTTCAGGCTCTTGATTTTTCTGATGATGAACAAGAAAAGCAGCATAAACGCAAATTAAAAATGAAGCACTCAGCACCGACATCAGGTAATATATTCAGTTAGATGAATACATGTGTTTTAACAATCTTTTATCACATAGGCGGATTGATTTTCATGCTATAGCGCTCGCATTTAGATGATTTTACCGTTAGTAGTTGTTCGTTATAACCTTATCTTCAAGATTATTTCTCAGGAGATGAACCAACCCAAACTGAATTTTCACAGTAGTAATTGTTTACAAATATGCTGCTCTTTTCATGTCTTCTATTTATAACGGCCATGTCTCACAGTCGTAAGCAAGATCTGATATGCTAGCTAATACTATAGTCAATTTAGTCATTAATGCATCATCACTCTACTTGGACACCTCTGGTATTGCTTTTTCTCGTGGGAGATTAAGGATTGCTCTTGCAAACTCAGGTACAGTAGGAAAACCAACGTCTACACCTCATTCGCATAGGGGTTGGATGATTTGACCGTAGGACCCTTGAAATGCCCTTCAAAATAACTTCTTCAGCATTGCAGTTGTATCTCGTGAGAAATCTTTGCAGTTACATCCTCATCAAAGATTATTTTACTTAGCACAAGTTTCTTACTGTTTGTTTGTCTATTGAGCCTAAAGAGTTGCCTGATGCCTTTTTTATTTCTGTGGCTCGCATCACTCATCACTGTTCATAGTCTTTGTAGAGACTTTTAGTTTATATTTTATCAGCTTTCACTTCTTTGCTATTTTCGAAGCTCATCGGTATCAGTCTGTTTGCAATTTATCAGCTGGGAAAAAGCTGCAAAACTCCATTGCCCTTTATTAACCTTTGATTATAGGTTATCTGAAGCGTTTATTACCGTTTCTATAGCTACTGGATTCCTTAAGATGTGTATTGCTGAGGTGTGAAAAATATATTTTGTCTACGTGTTTGAGTATTTACCTGTACAGGTGTTCTAAACGCTTCAAATCCAGTAACCAAGGGTTAGAGATGAAATTCACAAATTTAAGTTATTTATCGGAATATTTCGCAAATTTATATATTTCCGCTCATTTTCATGCCTTATAGCTAATTTATCCATTATCTGATTACGAAGTAGGTATTTCCTTTCTTTTTGAATTTATGTAGTAGAACCATCAAGTTCAGTTCAAAAGCATATAAACCGATCGAAAAATTTGGATAATAAACGTGGCAGATCCTCGTTAGATGCAAAAAGACATCACACACCGTCGTCAAGCTTTCATCAAACACGTGCACCCTGTGATTATCCATCTCAGCAACAACAACAACAGATTCAACAAGTTTATAACTTCCCACCATCTTTACAGCCATATCCAGCAACTCAGTGGAATGTCTATCCCAACATGCATCCTCCGTGGCATAATACAACATATGGAGCAACTCCTGTAATGCAAAGTCCATATTTCAATACACCACAAACACTTCCTCAGCAGTACCCATTTCCATGTAAGTTTGTTGTCTCATGTTAAAAATGTTCTTCATCTAACCTCATATGGTTATCAGGAATAATCGTATTAACTTCGTGATCCTCTGGCATGATGAACGTATTTCAATCACTAGCGGAATTACTAATCCTTTCTACACACTGACAAAAAGAATCAGAGTAGAATTGTTTCTAAGTAACTCGAGAACTGATATTTTTACAAGACAGTAGTGTTCGATATTTTACTTTATGACGCGTGCTATGAGTAGTTATCTATGAAACGGTAGATGTGCTAGTCAGCAAAGTTCCTCAACTGGATTATATTGATTCAAGTTAACTATTCTGTTCACTGATGTTTATCATTTCGATAAGTTGTAGACAAAAAAGTATGTGTATCTCAATAATGACAAGGTATGTGTAAACACATACAGATTACATTTGAACAAGTTAGATTTCTGCACAAGTTGTATTCTTAAACAAAAATGAAAGAATGAAGTGAAATCAACATTAAGACACAATGATTCGATTCCAATTACCTGTTATTCTTGTTTCAAACCATGAAGTTTGCACAGTTAGTAGTCCTGAAATTTCCAGCCATTGTCAGCTAAAAGTTGACGGTGAAACTTTTTTTTTATCAGAAGTAATTCATAAGATCTATAAACGACCGAAAAGTCCTGATGTTCTCATACTTATTCGTTTAACAGAGAATCCTCCAGTTAGCTTCGATCAAGAGGATTCAAAAAGCCTATGTTAAGAATATTCTCATATAATATAGTTTGAAGTCTTTTGAAGTGAATTATCACGTCAAGAAAGTTATCTATAAGTTCATCTTTATTTGCATTTGTTTAAATAGATAATACGCCCACAAGACCACCGTATCAACGCAATCCTTGGCAACCGTATGCACCGTCGTGATAAAACTTTTTATTCTAATGTTTGATGGCAGAGTGTTTTTATATGCATAAAGATGTATTTATCACGGATGATTTTTCTTTTGTCTTCTTTTTACGTATCATCTAAGTAGATGTAGTAAAGATACGATATATAATCATACTATTTTCCTTATTTCAAAATGGATGAACATGTAACTCATGGGACGCACACAAACAAGTGCCACTTCTTTACAAGATTTGACTTTGTAATTATCCGTTGGTGTTAAGTAAAACAATGGAAGGCAGGTCACGTATGTTGAATAAGAAGAGCAGTCGTTTTGTGTGGTTAGCATATAAGACATTTTAGCTTTACACTTTGCTTTCATCATGAGTGCTACTAGTCAAGTGAACTTACATTTAGTTTCATGAGAACAAATAAACGTGTATTTTCAAACCAAGAAAGAAGCAGTAACAGTTATTGCTAAAGTGGCATCGTGAGGTATTTTACGTACAACTTATCATATGATCTTAGACAAGTTATCCCACGATATTCTTGAATCGTTAGTTCATGCAGGCTTTTTCTTCATCTACGAATCTCCCCTAATGAATTTGAATAAAGCTATCGGAACAGGATAAGGCGGAACAATTTTATTTCTTCAGGATCTTGTCAACTGCTTACAAATTGAATACTGAAAGTAAATAGTTTTATTGTATATTTTTAACATTTTTTAGTTTATTGAACAAAGAAGTATTGTCGATCAATAACTAAGGATGATCTTTGTGAAATATACTCAGAGATTCTCTAGAAAAGGGACAAGGATAGCAATAAGATTTTGAGATGCATAAATTCTAAGGTAACGTAAATCATTCGAAAATTTTTAATAAACAAACAAAGTAGGCGAAAAATATTGTGGGTTAAGTTTATTTGGTTATGTATCAAGCATGGAGCATAGGGTTCTACAAATGATGATGTAAATAGGAGTGAAAGTAAATCTATCTTTGTCAGGAGACGATGTATCAGTGGTCGGGAGCCAAGTTACCAAAATTGGGGAAAATATACTACGGGTTCGTTTTGAATACATTAATCACGTTTTAACTGTTTGCTAATATTAATCTGTGTGAGCTTCAGGAGACTTGAGCTTGTTAGTTGGTTTATTATCTGGAAAGAATTAAAGATAAAGAAAATACATAGAATTAAGGATTCTATTTAAAAAGAAGCCCATACATTCCTTTATTTAATGAAGCTAACTTCCGCTCATCAATACGACAATGTTATCCAGCACTGGAAACATGACCTTGACAAACGACAGGGATACGTGACACTTATACCTCCTACTGAATGTGATCAAGTCTGATTGCATGCATGTAGCTTCTTCATACCACTGACCTTTACACATAATACTTCGTCGACCACATCTAAATGAAACAACAACTCAGGAATTTTACTCCACATTGGTGACGGATTAAGTCAGTGACAGGTTCGATTTAACTTATATACTTTTTCAAAGAGTCATGGTGTTACTTATTCCTGAATCTACCAATATAGTTATGCACCTTCCCAAATGGATAGCAGTGATCCACCTGGCTTTGTGTCAGTCGTTATCACTTGTACTTACGGATTATGACATAAGACCGTATCAGGCTCACTACGACTTGGTTTGTCGGTGTTATTTTGAAAACAGCACCTAATGACCTAGAGATACAGAGTCTTAAGCCGAGGTACATCAGTCTCACAGTATTTGAAAATGAACAATGGCTTCGGTATATCGCTGGTCAGGTTGGTATATCTTCAAATTTTTCTTAAGGACTGAGTAAATTTCAAGTGATAGAAACACGGTGAACAGCATGAGAGAAGACAATTCTTGCATTCATCCCCTGAAAAGCGTGAACCATCTTTTTCCTTTAAGTCTGCCTCGACCCCCATCCCCGGCTCGTTATTGACTTGAATCTGATGGTGGCGAGCTAAACTATATCTCAATACGTCTTAACGCTCGTAGTATTGCCATTAGGAATATCCATGCTGAAAATTCCATACTTGTACTGAAAATACGGTGTGGAATCAAGCTGTAATCAAAAGTAAAAGTATATGCTCCTCGTTTGAGATATTTCGAATTCTTTTAGACGAATATACCATAATGGCCATTTCTGATATTCTCATAAGTATTACCGCGAATCCAGTATTCCTAATTATAACTAATAGTACAATCATTCAGATTATTAGTAGTGTTAGTCGTAGTATTCATGTAATCACTAAATTTTATTGCTAGGTGGTTTTGTCAAATCTCTTGTTTCAAGACACTTAAGCAGATCTTTTGGACGATGGAGAGGCACATGCGATAATATCACAGTTGCGAACAATCATTAAATACTGTTTTCATCTTACATGTTTATGTAATATTTTTATATAAATATATTACTCCTAATTTTTGATGACAAAGATTTTTCTTTATGATATAACGCTGTCATTCAGACACTATGGTTAAGTGAATTTTGATATAAGTATAAAACTAGGGCACTGTGGTACAGTGTAACTCGATTATCATCAGTTAATATTACTGTGTAACACTGTGTGATTTATCAAAATAAAATCTTATCCAAAATGGAGTTAAGTGAATTTTGCATTTCACAGTAGCATTTCATTTGTTCACTTATTTCAGATAACAATATAATTACTTTCCGGGGATGGTAGTGCGAGTCTTTCTGATATCATTTTCAATTTTTCTAACCCCGTTTGTTATTAGATAATTGTTTCTTCGCTGTTATAATAGTGAAGAAACAAGTATTCAAGTTGTGTTCATAGGTCGCCATGAGAAACCCCAAAACTATGAATAGTAAAAGCCAGGTTAAGTATTTTGGGACAACCTAACGTAAACATTTTGAAGGAATGCATCCGAATCCCCCAAACATTCAGAAATTACTCCTAAAATTCCCCCAGAATTGTTTAGTAGGAAGGTATAGACTTCTTTACGTATTCTTTAACGGGCTTCTATAAGTGTACTAGGTGGTTAGAGGCAATCGGCGGGAAAACTTTGAGCAAGGTTTCGTCCTAGTTTGCACTCACTGTTCACCAAGGCGCATCTGCAACCTCGAAGGAACTCATGTCCCTTCTGAGATTCGAACCCACGTCACCCAGTGTTGCAGTCAGAGGCATTACCACTGAGCTATTCCCCGACCGGAAGCTGCTACCTTGACGTGGTGGTCAGACTTCAACATCGCAATGACCCAACAAGCTATACTGGCTGGAACTTATGTTCCTGCAGGTCCTACCATGCCAGAAAGGTTGTTTGGATAGCGGTTAGACAAAAAGCAGCCATCCAATCCAGTGCTATGACTAAAAAAATCACAAAATATCATGCCGGATCGGTCGGGGCCCGGACTAACAACGACCACGCTTCCTGCTGCCTTGTCAAAGGGCAGCGGTGATAAATATGCTACTGAGACACACCAAATAAAAAAGAACAAACAAAAACAGGCCGCGTGTGACCGGCCTGCGGTCACGCTAGGAACTTCCACGGTGTGGGCAGTCGAGAAGTAACAATCGCCCTCACAATCCGAAATGCACGCGAAACCTCTCTAATCCTCACTCATCTTTGCCTTCATCTTCATATCTATTGTCTTGCCTTCCTTCTACTGATACAGCTACTCTACTTGATGGCTCTTCACTTCCTCTTCACTCTGTGTCCACTAAAAACGACGGAAGCCAAAAAACCACTACCGATAGTCTCCTAAAGTCACGCCACCAATTTCATATAGGAGCATTTAATGTTAGGACACTTTACCAAATAGGACAACGAGCATCATTAGCTAAGACTCTGGCATCCCGAGCCATTGATGCATGTTGTGTTTCAGAAACACGCATACAAGACCCAAGTGTGGTTATTCATCTAACCCCACCTGGCCAACAGGATGAATCTGCAAAATTTACCCTAAGGGTGTCACGAGATGCCACAGCTAGTTCACCAGGATTAGCTGGTGTTGGGATGGCTTTGAGTACTAGGGCAGAAAAGACATTACTGGACTGGATCCCAGTAGATAGCCGAATGTGTGCTGTCCGTCTGAACGGATCAGTGAAAAGGAGAAAAAACTGCACTACTCACCGGTGCTTTTTCGTAATCTCCGCCTACACCTCCATTGACTGCAGTTCGGGTGAAACGAAGGATGAATTCTACCAAAAGCTGTCTAATTTGTTGCGAAAGGCTAAACGCTCAGATATAGTCGTTCTATCTGGTAACTTTAATTCTCAAGTAGGGAAATTGTGTCAATCTGAGAAGAATGTCGGTGGCACATACGGAATTCCGTGCCAGCGAACCGACAACGGTGACCATCTCCCACAGTTCTGTTCAGATAATCATTTGTTTCTTGTAAGCACTAACTTCAAACACAAGGAGAGACACTGTCTGACCTGGCGACCTCCATCATCAAACCAACGCTGGACACAAATAGACCACATAGCAATAAGCTATCGTTGGCGTGGGTCGGTAGGGGATTGTCGCTCCTTCTGGAACACGTGTGTAGATACCGATCACGCACTGGTCCGCGCTCGTGTGTGCTTACGACTGAACGGACGTAGGAAACAGCTAGCGGTAAACCTATCACGTCCCCAGCTCGATCAGGAAACTAAGTCCCTATTTGAGGAAGAACTAGCTAAACACATATCTGAGTTCGACAGCTGCGCTCACCCTGAAGAAGCCTGGAAGAATATTCAGTCAGCCATGGATACAGCTATAAAAGCTGTGAATAAGGTAAATCCAAAGGTGAGTAAAAATCATTGGATTTCGACTGCCTCATCCGAACTGATAGATGCTAGAAGACTTATTCCCGCGAGCTCCGAATTCAATGAGGAGCGAAAGCTGCACAAAAGGAAACTTACGAAAAGTCTCCGCAAGGACCGTGAACAGTGGTGGGTGTCAAAGGCGGAAGAGATGGAAAAAGCATCGGCGATATGCAACACTAGGCTACTCTTTAGACTCATCAGGGAAACGGGTGGGAGAAGGCAAATCATAAGTGAGACTATTTGTGAGAAAAATGGCTCCTTAATTAGCTCTCAGGATAGACACCTTGAACGCTGGAAAGAACATTTTGAGGAAAAACTTAAATTGCCTGCAGCCACACTGAGCCTCCCCGCCAACCAGCACACACCCCAATGGGATATAGACACTAGGCCGCCGTCTGTAAGTGAGGTCACCAAAGCCATCTGTAATTTGAAACGAGGCAAAGCGGCAGGACCCGACGGAATTATTCCGGAGGTGTTTAAATATGGGGGTGAAATTCTAGTATGTAGATTAACTAAGGTACTAGGTAACGTC